GGCGAATGAATCAGAAAACACCAAAAGCAGCTCCAGGAGCAGGAGTAGTCTACACGCACAGACTCCAATTCAATACTTTAACGCATTTCCATAAAGTCTTGGGCTGAGCCTAGCTCTCTCAGTCTCTTGCTGTTTCAGGAGCAGCTAAAGTACAGAGCCTATGGGAAGCAGTAGACCATGCAGTCAGCATATTCTCTTTGTTCAGACACTCTTTAAGACACTACGACGGACAAGGGTTCGTGCATGCAGACTAGAGCGAGTGCTTCAACAAAGAGATCATGTATGTTGTATGTGACTCACAAGGGTCAAGGGTCACCAGCGCATGCCTCAATCGTTTTGGAATTGGTCTTATGCCAGATGGAAGACTTTTTTTTCACCAAGCCGTGCTCCTGATGTGTTAAAAAGGGTACTTGTACACCCCTTCAGCTATTCAACTCACCAATGTAAATGAAGTGAGGGCTTCTTTCCTTGCGAACACTCATCGCTATGTGTTATATAGGAGGTAACCTATACTCAGGTATAAACCCTTGTCTTTTGTATTGTATTGCCTCTCGCTGGGTCTGAAATGAAAGACTATAGCCTACATACTATAAACATATTAGTGTACAGATTTTCAGCTATAGCATCTATAGAGTTTGTGCATACAGACTAAGGACGATTACCATTTTCATTGACCAATTATTGAGAAAAATTGAGTACTTTGATAAGAGAAATCGCATATACATGTACTCACATTAAAGATGCTGCTAAAGAAATATAAATCCTTTTGCATTTGTTAAATCAAACAACGTCACATTTATTCAATTAATTAATTATTTATTCTATAATGATGCATTTAATGCCAAATCACATCATGATAGTATAAAATGAGCAAGGAGCATAGGAAGGCAGTATTGGTGCTGCCTCCATAATTAGTATTAAAGGTAAAGACCAGTAATGGTCACGCGATTGCATTGTGAAAGAAACGTTGTGGAATCGATCAGAAAAGGTTGATCATCTAGCATCTAGCATCTGCAAGGTTCTGGAATCATCAAAATGATAAGAAATTTGGCCCATTCTTCGTAAAGTTACAAGCACTATACACAGAAAGATGTATATGGGACTACCCTATCTCTCTCACACGACCATGAGAGAAATAAATTTACCAAATATATGAATTAGTAGGCGGTTTCCCGGCAAATTTTTTATCATCATGTATTAGTCAAAACATATTCTTTCACATGATTGGTAATGAGAGCTTCCATTTCATTTTTTGAAATTGGGGCGTTACCAATACTGGTCTTTACCTTTAACAATTACATTTAAAAATCAAATTGCTTGTCATAACCTTACAACATGAAGGTATAAATGTATTCATGAATTGGCACCAATTTATCTGCAAGAAATAATCCAGGAATACAAACCCTCACGCAATCTACTATCATCTTCACAATTAAACCTTATGTTTACTTCTGTGTCAACTCTTTCTTATGGTCATCGCTCTTTTTGAAAAGCTTCTGCTGAACTTCGGAACAAACTACTTTTAAATGTCAAAAACTGTCAGACTGTCTTCAGACGCATTTATTCAAAATTGCTTTTGATGATTAACTTACTCTGTTCACATCAATGTATATTTCATATGTATTGTAATTTGTAGGTTTATTTGTAATTGTTTTGTTAAATATGTGATTGTTTATCATTGTATTTTGTTTGATAAGCACCGTTTTATTATCATTATGGCCCTGATGGCAACATTTGCAGAGCTTAGACTTTCTTGCAAGAATGTTGGTTTCTCGACACTGTCCCTGATTGAAGTATTGAAAGTTTAGTCACAAACTTCCCTCATCCTCTCGGTGAAACAAGAAACTTCCCACTCTGACTGTCGGAAGGTTGTTTCCTGTAATGATGCCAGCCAGCTTGAATGAACATTTTCAAATAACATGGAACTTCCTACTAAAACTTTTGCCGTTCAGGGTCCAAACTCCTCTTAACCCTTGGAATACCAAGGCCATGATAATCAGAGCTGGGGTCTATGGTAAATGTGGTGTCTATGGTATCAAAAAGGTTAAAGTTGGTAGTGAGGGATGGAACTTCCCACTTTATAAATGCAAGAGGTTGGTTTCCTGTGATGTTGTTTCTGTGGTGATGTGAGTTGGATCTGCATTTAAACAGTAAAGCTTGCAACAACAACAAGAAGTTTGCCACAGTAGGCCTGTTTTCATCAGACCAAAGTTGCAAAATAACCTGCTATTTTAAGTAGCCTTATCTCAAATTAGCCCGCTAATTTGCGTCTACATATAAAGCTAGCAGTTGCAATTGGCAGGCTATTTGGTTGAGAAAATATCCTGAGAAATGTTGGTCTTGTTTCCATAATAGCAGGCTAATTTGGGCTAGTTTGTGATGAGCGTTTCGGTCTGGTGAAGACAAAATTTTGAGTTTCTGGAAAATATCAGAAGTCTGAAAATAGCGTGTTATTTCGGTCCGATGGAGAAAAGCCTAGTATGACCACAAACTTATCTTAAATGTTATACCAAACAAAGAACTGTCCACTTTAACTTAACAGGTTTGCTTCCTGAAATGTTGTTCCTTGTAGTAATGCTAGTTGCACACATTTTGGAACACCATCATCAATACATCGTACATCTTTTACTAGCCTTAATTGCCACCAAGCTCTATCAAACTTCACTGAGAAATAAGAAATATGGAACTTCCCACTGTGTATGTAATTTTGTTGTAGGAGGTTTGGTTCCTGAAATTTTGTTTCCTGTGGTGATGTGACTTGGGATGCACATTTTTAAACACCATCAAACTTCCCATTAAATAAAACTACATTCTATCACTTTTGCTGGTCTTGTCACTGAGTTCTTTCAAACTTCATGGGGAAATATGGAAATTCCCAACATGTATTAAACTTATTTTGGGACATTGCTCGGCCTGAAATAGTTCTTTATCTGGCAAAAGTTGAGATGTGCACTTTTTTAACACCAGAAAACTTCCCTTTTCATTATCTTTGCCAGTCTGAATGGTTAACTTTAACTTTTTAACTTCCTTGCAAAATATGGAACTTCCTACAGTGTATGAAATTTGATGTACCGGTAGGCGGTTTGCCTTCTTGAAATTGGCATAGATCTTGAAGTTTTGCCAATTTCAATGCACATTTTCTAAAAAAAACAGGATTTCATCAAAATGAAAGTTTAATGGAGAATAAATAGGAAGTAAATATCATGGTGTTAAGCCATTGCCTAATTGCTCCTCGATGGGGTCAAAAAGAATCTTGCTTGTCAACCGATTCAAGTAGCATTGTTTGGTTTAATCTATAGCCAATCAACTCATGAGTTAAGAAGGCCTCCTTCCTATTGTTTAACAAGAAAACTTGATAGCCTACGAAGCCTAAAGAATGAACACTGTTTTGGCTCTAAACCAACTGTTGATCAGTGTTAGGCATTGTTTGTCGCATTGCCCTACTTTCCATCTGTAAACAGAGGTAGGTCATCCATGATTCAGGGCCTCAAATGAAATATAAACTTGTATTCAAGATCTTGAGATGCCCCCCCCCCCACCCATCCACTAATGCGTGCATATGGCAAGCCGTTTTAAGAATTCAATTCTTGATATCAAAAAATGATTTTCTGTTGTAAAGCAATGGTAGTTCTTGATATCAAGATATAGGAATAAATGATAAAACGGCTTACCATAGACACGCATGATCAGTGGACTTTCACGCCTTTCTCGTCCACCGAATCTTAATGTCCAAAATGCCAGAAGTCAAACAACTACAAAATTGTATTTTGTTTTTGGATTGTTTTCAAGGAGGGCTTGTCAATCATTCAAGATGCGATATTGATTTCATTTATTAATTGTTTTAGGCAATTGTTGCCGGTTTCTTTTAATACTTGCAAGAGCTCAAGAAAATCTTTTTGTATGCCCTGTTCATTCATTGACACCCCCCCCCCCCCCTTCCTCCTTGCCCTTTATACATGTAGAGGTTCTGTAATTAACACATTCAAATTACTATTTTGATTTTGGTTTGGTGTTAATGAGTCTCTTCATTCAAGCATTAATATTAATTTCATTCATTGATTACTTTAGGGATTTTTTGTGTTGTTTTCATTCATTTAAACAAAGATTGGTCCCAATGCAAGGTTTTATTTCAAGGTCTGCTAGTTTTAAATATAAAAAGCTAGAGCTAAATAAGCTCTGAAATGATTCATGATGATAATTACATATGAAATGAACTTAGCAATAATCAGATGTTACTCATGCCTGTTGATTTTTATAGTAATAATATTGGATATTTGTATCCACCACGCAATGCTCTACAATTTATAACCCCGGCTCTTGCAAGGCTACATCTTTCTAATTTTGTTTTCAGATTGAGTCTTATAGTAATGTTACATGTTCACATGCATAATGTGAAAGTGGAAGAAAAGGACCTTTGTACAATGTACAGGTACAAGTTTCATAAATTTCTACATGTGCTCAAACGAGATGTGTATTAAGTGGCAATTTTATATAACTTTTTTTTTAGGGGATGCCTCCCTTTCTTCATTAGATTTATTCAAAAAACAACTGAAAACATTTCTGTACAATTCTTCTTAATTGTTGATAGACTAAGAGTCAGCACCTTGTATCCTTTGGAAAAAGGCGCTATATAAATCCAATTATTATGATTATTTCTGGATGAGAAGTGTATTTCATGATTATGAAGAGTATGAATTGTAAATTTCACATTGATACTAGGTTGATACAGACATGTGTGTGGGATTGGTGCCTTCCTTTATGGATCCTTCACTGTGGAATTCATATTTCATAGATATTTTGGATTTTAGTCAATTTATGTTTCCCAATACCATCAATATTTTATGGACACTTAGGTGTATGTGTATGCATGTAGCTTTGTTCAATCCAAGTATTTGCACTCCTTTGTGCAAGTGTATGGTCACAAACCTGTTGCACAATCCAACTACCGGTAGTATTCCATCATCATTTGAACCCTTTTCATCTCTTATCCTCACCCCCAGGAGTTTTGGTGACAGGTGCATCGGGTTACATCGCATCCCACATAGTACAGCAGTTACAGGAGGCCGGCTATGCAGTGCGAGGCACAGTGAGGAGCCTGACAAATGAGGCTAGGTTCCAGCATCTCAAGGAGCTGTGCCCTGATGCTGCCCATGAGCTGGAGCTAGTGGGAGCAGAGCTGGAGAATGAGGAATCTTGGAAGAGGTAATGGAGGCCATCAGGCATCCCATCAGGAGGAATCCAGGTCCATCCTTGACCAGCCTCCCCCCCTACCCCCCCCCCCAAAAAAAAAAATGATTTTCTCATTTTGTCACCATTTTGGACATAACATTTGATAAATGATAGAAATAAATTAGAAATATTTCTGAGAAATTCAGACAACGGGAAGAAGCTATATGTATGACTTCTAATAGTTGTGATTGATTATATGCAAATAGGTAGCCGGAGGCATTCCATTCCACTCTCTGTTCATATAACTCTTCATTTCCCCCGTAACAAATAGAGTATAAGATGTTACGAATATAAAGGCCATTTATTCTGTTTCGGTTTCTGTTTCGGTTGCATCTGTATACTCAGAATTACCAACATTTTGATTAGTATGGTCGTGTATGTGCTATGGAAGGAGAGTTGTTTCACATTTGAAATTTCTGCTTGAAGACTGCACTGGAGGTAGACATAGTCTAACTCTTTCCTCCTTGAGTAGGTTCTATTTTGTTGCCACACCCATCCACTTCAAATTATGGGGTTACTCTTCTAAAATTTAAGATACAACACACTTGCTGTGGTATGCTATAGATAATATGAACAATAAATCTGGTCTAAAAGTGAATTTTCTAGCATACTTTGTAATATGAGGAGTATGGAGAGCTCAACAACCCGTCAGTATGAAGTGCTATTATGTCAAGGACTTTATTGTATTTTCTTGTCATTGATACGGTATACTTTAAAGATGGTACTAAACTTTAATAAAAAATAGATCTCTAAAAAATATTTGACAGGTCATGGGATGCGAGATTTATGTAGTAGTACATACGGTTCATTTGGATGACAATGGTATAGAAGTTCATTGAAATTCCTCTTCTAGTTTTTAACTTATTTTGGCAAGGAAAGGGCTTACATTTTATTTCTTAGTGAAATTAATCAACAAGTAAACTTTCCTTTCTTTCATGATTACCCTTAATGCGTTTTTTTTTTTGTGGGGCGCTTTTCAACTTTTCGACCAAAACAAGCACATGAATACAAGACCGTTCTGATGGAGAAAAACACGAGGAATCCTTGGAGGGCTAGAGGGGTTCTTCCAGAGCCCCCATGTATTTTAGCACTGTTTTATTCCTACATCAGAATGTTTGATAATATCTTTAAAGATATACTGTCGACCAGTGGTGGTAAAATTGCTGTTCTAGGGTTTTGGGAGCAAAATATCCATTCAATATTGTTTAAATATTGCCTTCAGAGGTTTAGATGGCAATACTTTTAAATTCGCAAAAAGCAGAAATATGTCCAAATGTTCCATGTTGAAGTGCATTCGCAATATCTATCCAAGCCGGATCGATATAATTATTTACCAAATATATCAATTAGTAGGCGGCTCCCGGCAAAATTGTATCGTCACGTATTAGTCAAAACATATTCTTTCACATGATTGGTAATAAGAGCTTCCATTTCATTTTTTGAGAGAGGGGCGTTTCCAAAACTTGTCTATACCTTTAACTCCAGACTGGAGAGGAACAAGTGGGACGTGAAGGTCATTGTTTTCATATTTAAAGTGCAATGTGGTGATCTGCTCACTCTCATGGTTTTGCATCCACTTGTTTCAATGAGAACTTCCTTTTGTACCTTACACAAGTTGATTGCCTGCAGTTTGCAAAGTCTTCGGGGAGGGGGTGCATACAAGTTCAGTGATTCTTTTACATCCATACTTTGCTTGTTAGTATCTGTGTCTGTTTATTGGGGAAGGGCGGGGGTCTGTACATGTATGTACCAGGCCTGATAAAAACCCGATTTAAATCGGTTTCCCAATTTTTCTTAATCAAAAGGGGGGGGGGGGGGGGGGGGGGGGGGGGGGGTTGTTAGATGCCATTTTTCCCCCGAATCCTCTTCTTCTTTTTTTTTTACTCAAGGGGGGCGTGGTTGAGGGATTATTTTCTTATACTGATGTTTTGGATGAAATTTGTTATCTAAAATTTAATTCATGTTTGTTCATCGTGCAACATACATCAACTTTTCTAAAGAAATCCAAATATTGATTTTGCTTCCAGACTTTTTGTCACCTGATGTACTAATTTCAGTCATTATAATATGATTATGTAATGCTTTGAACAACCCTCTTTCTCAAGGGGGACGGTCTCAATTCATGCAGATGATATAATGATCTGTATCAATGATGTTGTTCATTTCTTTGCAGTGCTGTGGATGGATGTACCTATGTCTTACATACGGCCAGCCCCTTTCCTCTGGCCCTCCCAAATGACGAGAATACTGTCATCAAACCGGCAGTAGAGGGCGTCACAAACGTGCTCAAGGCAGTCGCAGCCAATGGGAAAGTTAAACGAGTGGTCGTGACAAGTGCTGGATTGGCCATTTGCGGTGTGTATATATATACATGTATTTATATCTATTGTTACTTTTAAAGGTGGTGTGTCTCTTTTGCAGGCTGAAAACATAAAATTGGGTGAATCCTATGGTAAAAAAGAGATATTACCAACTAAAAACTCCCTTGAGAAAATTAGAACTGGAAATTGCCTTGAGGCGGAATTTTCGCAGCTCATTTCGAAAATTATGCTTAGAAAGTAGTCTGATTTTCAGACCCTTGTACCGTATGGTCATACATTTTGTGCTGCGCAAAGATTCAATCAGCTTAATTTTTGACATTACAAGAAGTGGGTTATGGATGTGTACAAATGCTCCTGTACCCTTAACAGCTCATTTTATGTATGTTATGTCCAAAGAACAAAAAGAAATCAGTCAGTCACTCAATAGTGTCTGACAGTGAAGTCTAGAAAGTAAACAGGTTTCCTTGCATAATTTGAATACTAGGACACTGCTAACCTTTAAATTCTACAGATAGGACATACGTGACATATTCATAGTTCCTGCAAAGCTCTACAGAATTTGATGTTGGCTGCAAATGGGACATAGTACCTTTAATAAGTCACTCCCAGGTCAGTCTCCTGTAATTGTTATGGAAAATGTTTGGATATCGCTCTTACAGGTCTTATATCATCTATCATATAAAACATTTTCAATTTTGACTAACCTTAGGACTGGGAATGGTATATTGTAGTTATTATCATTATTATCATCAGTCAAATTTTCTATATCTGTAATGTATTCAAAAATATATTGTATGACCTTTGTTATATACAGGTATGTGCTGGCTTTTCATTGGCATGTTGAACACACTAATTATTTCGGTCTTACCCAAAGTAAAACAAAAATGGATATCAGCAGACAAATGCTCGAAAGTTTTTGCATATCGTTATTCTTCTCTTTTTCTGTCTATTTTTTCTTTCTTGCAGGATCTCTATCAAACAAAGAATATTCTGAGAAGGATTGGCCAGACGATATGGATGGATTGTTGCCGTACCCTAAGAGCAAGACCTTAGCTGAGAAAGCTGCTTGGGACTTTGTAGAAAACCTCAAAGGTCGGTCTCATTCAATCAAAGCAATGATGATTTTTTTTTCTTCCCGATTCTATCCCGATTTCCCCTTATTTTCTCTATTTTTCCCTATTATTTCCCAATTTTTCTTACTCAAAAGGGGGGAATGTTGTTTGATGCCATTCCCCCCCCCCCCCCCCGAATCCTCTTCTTTTTTCTTTTTTTACTCAAGGGGGGCATGGTTGAGGTGGAAAAAACAACTTTTTTTTAGTGCTCACTATCACCCCTGTAAGATGGAGGGTAAGGGTTGTAATTGTTTTTTAGTGTTTTTTTAAGGTTTAGGGAGAGCTTTAGGTGAAGTATTGGGTCCAGTATTAAAGTAAGAAATTTGATTAGGGTAAAAAAATCGACCGAAAAGCAATTTTCATACGAGCATTGAGGCAAAAGTCCACTCCCAGATATTTAAAAAAAAAATGATTTAGTGCAACTCTTATTTCCCAAAGAAACAAATGTCTCATCACAAAGAGCAGAACACAATCTTTCATATTCAATTCTCTTCAGTGTTTGAAGTTCTGGAACCCGTTTCACAAAGCTTTCTATCTATAACAAATGACAAAAATCAGTGACAAATCTGCTGATAACCAATCAGAAGCAAGGATTTCAGTAGCTTATAACAAAAACTGCCATTTGTTGCTGATGACAAGTTTGGTGAAAACGCCCCCCAGAAGTACATGTATGTGAGCACTTTTTGTATAATTTGTCTGAAAATCCTATTACAGAGGAGGAGAAGTTTGAGCTTGCGGTGGTGCATCCTGTCGGCGTTTGCGGCCCTATCCTGAGCAAGAACGAATCAACGAGTACGGAGATCGTGAAGCGCCTCATGCTCCGGAACCCTTTCCTCCTACCCAAGGTGAACCTTCCCCTTGTAGACGTGCGTGATGTAGCGGCTGGTCACATCGCAGCCATGAAGTGCCCTGAGGCAGCTGGTGAGTTGGTTGGTTGGGGAGTGCCGTTACCATGGAAATGTGGGACACTTGTGGAGCTCTCTTTCTTTCTCTGTCTTTTTTTCTCTCTCTCTCTCTCTCTCTGTCTGTCTCTCTTTCTCTGTCTCCATCTCTTTTTCTCTGTCTGTCTCTCTCTGTCTCTCTTTCTGTCTCTTTCTCTCCTTTTCTTTCTCTCTTTCTGTCTCTCTTTCTCTCTTTCTGTCTGTCTGTTTCTCTTTCTCTTTCTCTCTCCCTCTCTCTCTATCTCATTCTCTCTTTCTCTCTCTGTCTCTCTCTGTCTCTGTCTTTCTTTTTCTTTCTGTCTGTTGCTCTCTCTCTGTCTGTCTCTCTGTCTCTCTCTCTTTCTCTCTCTCTCTTTCTCTCTCTCTCTCTTTCTCTTTCTCTCTTTCTGTCCCTTGCTGCCTGTCTCTCATATCTCACTCACGTTATCATTTTTGCCTGTGATTTTGGGGGATAATTTTCAAATTGGAGGATTGCCAAAGATTTTTGTTTGTGTGTGCAATCGTAGACTTCTTGTTCATGTGATATGTTGAATACCATATTTTTCCCTTGAATTTATCACTTATTTGCCAAATTAAGGGAAATAAATTCTGCACTTTTTAAGTATCAACAATCAACAATTTCATCAATTGAGCAACAAACGTGGAAAAAAATATCTCAAGTTTTGTGGTAATTGCAAATCATCCCTTATTTAGTTGAGCTATTACGCTGCTCCTAAAAAGAAAGAACAAATTACATGAATATATATGTACACTCCCAAAACACAAAAATCACCAAAGAAATCTCTGTTGGGAAGGGGATTATGGATAGGTGGTTTTTTGTCTTTGTCAATGTACCAATAAAAGATGAATGTTTGTTTTGTTTACTGACAGGTAACAGACATATCCTTTGTGGAGGTAACATCTGGTGGAATGAGATGGGAGCTACACTAAGAGCAGAGTTCAAATCACAAGGTAACATATTATTTTGTCTCCCGACGGCTAGAAAGGCATTAAGCCATATCATTTAACACAGAAGTATTATTATACATTAGGTTTGCGTTTGCACCATGTGAGAGAGAGAGGGAGAATTGGGAAGTCCCAAAAAGGACTCTTGGTAATCTTTCTTTCTTGAGTGTGTGTAGTCCTGAAAAGGACTGTGGGTGTAGTCTTGAAAAAGACTGTTGGTTACCTTTCTTAGCTTATAGTTCTAAGGAGAACTATAGCGCCAGTTGGAGAAGATAAGTGGCGGGAGTGGCTCAACGTTTCGAACAGGGTGACTATCCTTCGTCAGGAGACGTATAATTATTGTAACATCCTTCTGGCTCTTATGAGTAGATTCATGTAAGACCAATTTTACATGAAAAATTGTCAAATGTGATAGCTTCAGGAAAACAACAAGAACTTTCTTTACAGGCAGGTTACCTAATCTATTGGCCTTTGGCCCTTTTTAATCAATTTAATTCTGCTTCTTGAGGGAAACAAGTTTATTTTTTACATAAAACTGAATAATAATAATTTTAGCGGACCTTTGACTGACCAAGCAACGGCTTATGCATGCCAAATATTGCTCAACTGAAAATTGCTGTTGTTTATATCCTCAACAATGTTTCATGTTTGATAGTACAGTGTGGGTTAAGATTTAATGTGCATGCATCAAAGAGGCAGAACATCACCTGATCTCCTAAGAAATCTAATATAGAAGGGCCCGGCTATGGGTTACCATCAAACATTGATTCTTTAGATATTTGCTGGTAGGATATGTTACAGGTTGAAGATGGATTGTTCCTGATTTATATGCCTAATGAGGCGCTCTTAGCTTTGAAAACCTTGAAGATCACTTTCGATTATTGCATTTGTCATTCTGTCTATCTGTCTATCTCTCTGTCTCTGACTATATCTGCCTCTCTCTTTCTCTGCTTCTTGGTCTCTATGTTTCTCCCCCCCCCCCCCTCCTTTCTCCCTCTTTCTTTCTCTCTCTCTCTCTTTCTCTTTCTCTTTCTCTCTCTCTCTTACTCTCTCTTTCTCTCACTCTCTCTCTCTCTTACTTTCTCTAAAACTCTCTCTCTCTCTCTCTCTCTTACTCTTACTCTCTCTCTCTCTCTCACTCTCTCTCTTACTCTCTCTCACTCTCTCTCTCAGGCTACAATGTTCCCACCAAACTGACACCAAAGATCTTCATTCGTATGGCGAGTCCGTTCATGAAGGAAACTAAGATGATTCTCCCCATTTGGAATAAAGTCTCCAAATTTGATAACACACGGGTAAGTATTATATCAGAGAGAACCTTTAACTTTATATAAGTAAAGGTACGATGAATGAGGTTACAGAAAATAAAAACAACATTTTAAACTAAATGTAGGATTTATTTTGAAGAATTATCAAGATTAAAACAGGGATAATCAGAAAGTGAAACCTCATATTATCATACAAATATGACAAATTAAGTTGATAGTCTTCAAATTTTGACCAAGCTTCTAAGATTTCCTCTTGACCCATTTAAGACAAGAGCAAAGCTGCCAACCGTCACGTTTTTCCCGGAATTATTCCATGTTATGTGTGAAAGAGGTTTGATATTAAAATATTTAAATGATGTAATTCTTGTATATATAAATTTGCATATGTCTAGATGAAAGATGTGCTGAAGATTGAACCAAGAGATCTGAAGACTTCGTTGATTGAGATGGCATACAGCATGATAGAGGCTGGCATCGTCAAGAAGTCACCCAAGTACAGAGGCCCGGGAGGGGCGGAGCCTGTTGCTAACGGTGACGGGGAAGTCCCTACAGCCAACGGTCCCACCACAGAGGGAGAGGATAAACCAGAGGAGACCAAGACAGAAGAAGGTGAGGGATTAGGATAATCCAAGCTTGAATTAAAGAGATCATCCATTAACCCTCAATGTGCCAGATTTTGTATATCAAAGAAACGTAAATGTATGGTCTCTCATGTAGTGCAAATGTATCCCATGTAATGAAGCTCCAAAACAAAAGACTGATGAGTGGACAACAGAACAATAAAATCAGTTATTAATGCCTGCAACACACTCTGAACAACGTAATTAACTAATAAGTGAATCCATAGCTCTACTTACTGTGTAAGTTTACAAGGTTATTGCAGATTAAGGGTTGACAAAAATGGAGTGCCCGCGAAAGTGGTTTTACAGTGCGAGTATCCCACACTGAGCATGGGGTAAGTATCTTGAGAGTACAATTCTCAGAGAAGTACCTGGGGGTTGAATAAAGAAGACTTGTACCTTTCCTGTTGAATGTAGCAATGACATGGTTCTGATTATGTTGTGCTTAATGTTTAGTGAAATCTGATGAGAAGGAAGAAGGAGCCAAAGAGGAACCAAAGTCAGAAGAACCAGCAGCAGACACCGGTGCACCGGCAGAGAAGACAGAGGATAAACCAGCTGATGAGGCAGCTGAAAAACCGGCGGAAACACCGGCAGAGGCACCAGCAGAAACACCGGCAGAGGCACCAAAAGAGACACCAGCAGAAACGCCAGCAGAGACACCAGCAGAGACGCCAGCAGAGACACCAGCAGAAGACACTGAAAAGGCAAAGGAAGCACCAGCAGAGAAAACAGAAGATGCTGAACCTGTAGCTGAGGAGAGTAAAGAAACAGGTAAGGTATAGTTTGAATAATGAGATATGAATAAATATTTCAATTTTGTACAATTCGAATTACAAATTCACAAAGAAAATAATGAGTTGCATCTGGTTTTGTCCTTCCATAGGGCTGTTTTGAAAAGAAAAAGCATAATGATCTTACATATATTATAAGTATGAGTGAAAATTTTAATGCACATGAAAAACTTCTAAATTTCAAACAAAGTTAACAGTTGTTAATTTCATCCTTAATGTTTGCATTTTATATCTACTCTAATGTAAAGAAAGTTCGCATTCAAGACGAGGTAGGAATTTTCTTTAGGATTAGCTCAATATGATCTAGTAGATCATGACTGATTTTTGCATCTGTGTTTCTTCCCTTTGATCTGTTTTTCCTTCTCTCTCTTTATTTACGTTCGGTATTATGATTTCAATTTGTTGCCGTCACACTTTCAATACATTACGTTACTTCCTTGAACTATTGTTGTAATCTACAACATTTACCTCGATTTATATATTTAATTATTGATAAAGAACTCAGCTGCTCCTTTTCTACTTCCCTTTCAAGGGGATAGATACATGTTTCCTGTTCTACTGTGATATTTCTATTATTATTATGAAGATATATTTTTGTTTCTGTTTTACGCCATTAATTAAGCTCATGCACTTGTTTTTGTAAAATCATTTGTAATTCAGCTCTTGAGCTGCGATGATGATTATTGAATAAATACCATTATTATTGTCTACCATTTTCTATCGGTGTCTGATCTCCAGCTGATTCAACAGGCGAGACTGGGGCAACGGAATAGACTCTGGAGGAAGAACAACAACTCCAGGATGAAGGGCTCCTGTACAACTCACCAACAGAATCAGAGGGGTGTTTCACAAAACTTCTCATCAGTGACAAATGACAGTTTTTGTTATAAGCTACTGGAATCATTGCTTCTGATTGGTTATCAGCAGATTTATCACTGATTTTTGTCATTTGTCATTGTAAAAAGGCTTTGTGAAACAGGTCCTAGATCTCTAAGATGGATTGTGGGGGTAGAAGAACCAGGAGTGACAGGCATGCAAATGGTCTAATAATCATAATCATCGTCATAATCATCACCACAATGCCATTGCTCACATGCATGTATATTTCTTTTCACTGAATGTCAAAACAGCTTGCCAGATCACAGCACAGCAGTAAACAATACTTCTTGAAGTTTATTAATCACACATTCAAAGCAATACTTTCTATGCCAGATGAGGCTGATAATGATAGAACTAAAACTAAAATATTAAAACAAATATTTTGGCATCAAGGTGGTCTTGTAATTTTTCATATCTTGCCTTACATATTTTAGGGATTATATTGATTAAAAGAAAACTGTAAGTGGAAAGTATTGCAACACAAATGGCTGTCTCAGTGAAACAAAATTCATCACATCTAACCTAAATAGTAGATTATTGGAGAAAGAGACCACAGCCCCCCCCCCCCTCCCCTTGCTGCTACATGGTGTATGGGTGTATACTATCGTTTGTCTTTTTGATAATATTTACCATTTAATCACCCTTTCTTTGATGTACACTTACTCTTTTGACTTTGCATATTTCCACAAAAAGAATTCCACAAAAAATGTTGCTGTTTTTGATTGGGGCATTCTATAATGCACCTGCAAGGTCATATTACAGTCATACTGAGTGGTCAACCATGGTCTCAGTTTCATGCTGGTACGTACTCTACGTGTGTCAATGTAGTGGGGTCATTCCACAGTCACGCAGCTGAATTGACCCCATGGACACCGACTCGGGCCAAACTGGGGAGAAATTTGTTTGTAAGCTCTATCAATTCTGTACTCCAGCACATGTCATGTACATGAACATGTCGACGTTGTTCATGTTTAAAATTTAAGGTATGAGTCAAATCTTATGATCCAATTCCATATATATATATATTTTGTTTCTTTTTAAGATCTTTTTAAATATTCTTTCAAACATCAGTTTAAACATTCCCTTCTTACTTTGATCCCAAAATGTGTGAAAATGTTTTATTTCTTGGTTAACTTCCTCAGCACAATAATTTTTAATTTGCTCCTGGAAATGTTGGAGAGTTCATTTTCAAATGGTTGAAATCTATTTTTTCTTGCTACTTCATTTATTTCTTTAAGTATTCCAGGAGCCTTGGTCAATCATTGGCATCTCTGTTGATATATCATGCTTCTTATGAATATTAATGTATTACTATGTTTGCATACTACACAACTTCAGTATTGCTTTTTTGAAAGAAATATTCAGTACAATGTATTTATTATTGTTTTGTATTCACTTTAATTTGCATGATCATGAATGTGAATTGATATGGCTTGTGTGTATTTGATAATATGCCTGCATTCTATGTTTTACTATTTTGCATAATATTTCTTATTTAATGATTCATCATTGGAATTCAATTAATCTGGTTGAATAATTAGTCTTCCAGTTAATTTTGACATATGCCTTTTGAGTATTATTTCAAGTGATTATTATGTTCTGGATTATCTTCCATTTTAGTATAGCTTTGGTGAAAATGAGAATAAGATTTAATTTATTAATGTACTAATATCAGTGACTTGAATAGTAAATTTCCCTTAGTAGTTGTCTTGGAATATAAATTTAAGGTAAATTATTGTTGAAAGTGAAAATCCCTTTATTAATACATTAGGAGCCTCGGCTTGGTCTGTAACTTGGCCTTTCTTATTTACATAATGTAAATATATGTAAATATGCTTTAAAACGTGCTATGACTAAACAGGGAAAAAGCATCATGTGCAAACAAAAACAAACAGTATTTGAATGTGCTTATGTGCATTGTCTTTATTAAATCATCTTGCCTTTTGAATGTATGGTGTATAGGAATTTGGTCAGTGACATTGTAATACACTTGTAAGAATCTGTTAAGTAACTATGTACATGTATCAGTCAAGCATTGAAAAGTAGAAAAGGGAATTTTGTGGCTATTTTTTTATTTCATGAGTGAATGCAATTGACGTCAATATCTGGCTAGTAACTTTTTCACTTTGGATAAGTCATTGTTCAGAAGTATATGCTGTTTTTATGCCTCCGCCACCGAAGGTGGTGCCGGAGGCATCATGTTTTCGGGTTGTCCGTCCGTACGTCCGTACGTCCGTCCGTACGTCCGTACGTCCGTCCCGTTTGACCGTTATCACAATATCTCAAGAACCATTTAAGATTTAAACTTAAGACTCGGGAATAGTATTTATCACCATAGGAAGACGATCTGATTAGATTTTGGAGTACGTAGGTCAAAGGTCACAGGTCACAGAGGTCAACTTATGAAATTCCTTGTATTGAGTTTGTTAGCGCGATATCTCAAGAACCATTTGAGATTTAAACTCCAAACTTAAGATAGTATGTATCACCATAGGAAGACGATCTGATTAGATTTTGGAGCACGTATGTCAAAGGTCAAGGGTCACAGAGGTCAACTTATGAAATTCCATACATTGAGATTGTTATCATGATATCTCAAGAACCACTGGAGATTTAAACTTCAAACTTAGTGATAGTGTGTATCACTATAGGAAAAGAATCTGATTACATTTTGGGTCACGAGGTCAAAGGTCAAAGGTCACAGGGCTCATTATGTATGCAAAAACAGCTTGTGATCGCGTTATCTGAACAACCGATTGATGGATTCCTGCCAAACTTTGGTCATGTATGTATCTTGCAGAGCTGATGAACTGATTAGATTTTGGGGTCACGAGGTCAAAGGTCAAAGGTCACAGGGCTCATTATGTATGCAAAAACAGCTTGTGATCGCGTTATCTGAAGAACCGATTGATGGATTCCTGCCAAACTTTGGTCATGTATGTATCTTGCAAAGCCAATGAACTGATTAGATTTTGGGGTCACGAGGTCAAAGGTCACAGCGCACATTGTGTATGCAAAAACAGCTTGTGATCGCCTTATCTCAAGAACCGATTGATGGATTCCTGCCAAACTTAGGTCATGTATGTTACTTGCAGAGCTGATGAACTGATTAGATTTTGGGGTCATGAGGTAAAGGTCAAGGTCATGCGGCTCATTATGTATGCAAAAATAGCTTGTGATCGTATTATCATTAGAACAGATTGATGGATTCCTGCCAAACTTAGATCATTTATGTATCTTGCAGAGCCAATGAATGGTTCATAAGATCAAAGGTCATGGGCTCATTATGTATGCAAAAATAGCTTGTGGACGCATTCTCATTAGAACTGACAGATGGATTACTATCTAACTCAGGAAATCTTGCAGAGCCAATGAACTGAGTAGATTTTAGGGTCATGAGGTCAAAGATCAAAGGGTCATATATGTATATGAGAAATTGCTTGTAATCACGATATTCTGAGAACATGTTAATGGATTACAATTGAACTTGAATTTGAAAAATTTCTTCCGTTTCGGTTTGTAAAATTGCTCTATGACGGAGGCATCATTTTCGACTGCGCGCAGTCGAATTCCATCTAGTTTATTTTTTATTTGGAAAAAGTTTTTTTGTATGCACAATGCATGTCTCAAAATATAGCTACAATGATGTAGATTCTTAGTGCAGTTCAAATTAGTTCATAATATAGGCCTTTTTAATACAGTAGGCTTGTGGGTGCGCCATGTGAGAGAGAGGGAGGAGGGGCCTTTTTTAATAGTTAAAAAGCTAGGCTATTTTATTTCTGATTGTAAAAACAAATGTATGCTGCAGTACTGAAAACAGTAGAGAGAAAAGTTCTAGTTAGACACCCTTCCCTTTAATGGTAGATAAATGCTAAAGTCTCCCTGGTAGACAAATCCTAATTTTATTTTGTCAAGTATTATAGTTTCTGATATTAGGAACAGTTTGCTCTCAAAAGTAAAGTTGTGAATTATTAAATATTATTTATGAATGAAATGGTTGGTCAAAATTTGTACAGCCATGCTTGTATATGCTTTGAGTACTTTTTGCATCTAAATTCATGTTGCAACCGTAGACTAAGGAAGAGAAATAGAATATAGACATTGTAGTAGTAGAATATTTAGTGCAAAGTATTTATATTCCGTTATGTAGCTTAATTATTCAATTTTAAGGTTGATTTTGTGTTCTCAAGCCATTGAAATATTATATCTTGCTACACAACTTATTAGGCCCATTAAATAATGTAATCAGAGATTTTATGAGTGCTTCTTGAACCTTGCTCGAGACAACAGAGAAGCCTGGTCAGAGCTTTCCTGATATAGCACCTACTGTATACAAGGTCTATTTCATCCATAGCTACCCTGTCTTACATAACGTATATCATAGGGAGAACATTCTCAAATCTGGATACATTAGTAAACGAGTCTTAATTGAATTGAATTGAATTGAATCGATCTGAAAGCTTGACACGTATTTGACAATTTATCCATATTTCTCACATTTATAGGTGTATTTAGACAATGTTCTTCTTTTTGCTTTGTAAAACATTAACTTAACATAACTGGATAAGTTGATTATAATTGTTATTATGACACGGTGTTACAAGGTACTTCCTTTGTAACATAGGTCAAAAGGTCAAAGTTCAAGGTCAATCTAGAATGAGACTATATACTCTATAAGTTACCGTTGTGTGGGTGAATTGGTAAAATACTAATGGTTGGGGAAATATTGCGTAGATTTGTAATGATAATATGGTCTGATAGTTCTGCATATTAAAGTAAAGATAAATATAGCTTTATTTGTCTTGTAGAAATGGTAGAAATAGGCAGTCAATCTTGCTTTGTGTTATATGTTTGTGAATGCTTTGAATATATCTGTACATCTATCGTGCACGAGTAAGTCTAGTAGAGTTATAGGCAACTGCATAAAAACAGGCCTTACGCTGTAGTAGTATTATTAGTATTGCTATTAAACTATTTATGCTCTTCATTTATACAATTTTCTAATATTTCATATACATGTATAACTACCATGGACCAACTTTTTATACATGTATTTGTAATCCTTCGCGTGAAGCAAGGTTTTTGTATTTTACTTCATGTGCATATCAATTGCAGGCTGTCATGTTGGCTGAATTTATTTCATTTATTATGTAAAACGTGTACAATTTATGTTTGTCCTATTTTTAAGGAAATTAAAATATTTGGCAATACTTGCAAATGTTTGTTGTATTTTCATAATTTTATTTCTCTAAGAGGAACAGAGGAGATGAAAAGGAGTGGACAAGAGAGAGAGAGAGAGAGGGAGAGGGAGAGAGAGAGAGGGAGAGAGAGAGAGAGGGAGAGAGAGAGGGAGAGAGAGAGAGGGAGAGAGAGAGGGAGAGAGAGAGAGGAGAGAGAGGGAGAGGGAGGGAGAGAGAGAGAGAGAGGGAGAGAGAGAGGGGAGGGAGAGCGAGAGGGGAGGGAGAGAGAGAGATGGGGAGGGAGAGAGAGAGAGAGAGGGGAGGGAGGGAGAGAGAGGGAGGGGAGGGAGAGAGAGAGGGGGAGGGAGAGAGAGAGAGAGATGGGGGAGAGAGAGAGGGGGGGGGGAGGGAGCGCCCTGGAAAGAGAAGAGAAAGAAGGAAAGACAAATAATTGGAGAGAGAGCTGGGGAGGGGGTGGAGAAATAGAGAGCTAGTTAGAAAGAAATGGAGAATAGATATGTAGCAACTAAGAGATAAATACAGATGAAAGAGAAGAATGTTGATAAGCTATGCTTCCAAATAGCGCACCCACTGAAAACTTTCTGCTAAAACACGACATTTTTTTAAAGAAAAAAGGAAAATGAACTATGAAAGGGATTGATTGATAGGCCGGGAGAGATCCAGAGAGAGAGAGAGAGAGAGAGAGAGAGAGAGAGAGAGAGAGAGGGGAAATAGCGAAGGAAAGAAGAAAGGAGGGAGAAAAAGATTCAATAATAGATCTTGATAGACCTACAATAACATGTATGGTTTTTGCGACAAAATGAACTTTGAGATTTGAGATTTAGATGGCAAAATAATTTGTTATGAACATCGGGATTTATATCAAGGAGTATAATTTAAAAAAATTAAAAAAAAGTATAATGACTTGGGAATCCAGAATTGGATCCAATACAGCTGGTAATCCATAATTTGAAAAGTTTTGTGTTTCCTAATTGTCGGCACTTTACTTTTATGAACAGTTTTCTTTCACATTACTGTGAAACTCGACCTGTCACTAATCATGGTGTCTCTCTTCTTGAAGTCTATTCCATTCAACCTTGAAGATTCTTATTGTAGTATATACGAGTATTTTTGTTCATAGTCAGACTCTCTCCCTCTCCCACCCCCTCTTTCCATTTCTATATCCCATGTTCACTCTTATCGCCTCCTATAATGGTAAATAGTATCTCCCTCCCCACCCTTTTTATGATTCAGTTAAAGTGTTTATTATTTGTTTTAGTACTCGATCGAGCGCTTTTGACGAACATTACTTGTATTAATATTCTACTGCCAGGCTGTTTTAAAAAAAAAATTATATTGCTTTGAGGGACCTGAATTTTACAAGCCATGCTTTTCTTAAGGTCTCCTCGTCTTTCTATTTTACTCACTTTTTATATGAACTTGTTTCCTTATAAACCTTTAATGTATTCTGTGACATATTCGTGTTTGTACTACATTCATGTTGGAAGAAAGACAAACAAAACTTGAATTTGAACTTGTAACATCCGATCGAGTCCCGGCCCTCCCCTTAAAAACCATAAAATCAATCAAAGTGTTCTAATATTAATGCCCCGCTGTACCCCTTGTATAACAATGCTAGTGAATTGCAACTTAAGTTTCACACAGGCGCGTACGCAGGGGGAGGGGGAGGGGGAGGGGGAGGGGGGGGGGGGGGCAACCCCCCTCAATTTATTCAAAAGGGTGACCAAAAAAAGGTGACCTTACCGCCCCCCCCCCCCCCAACTGAACGAAATATCGGTGACCAACCGGACAAAAGTTGCTGGATGCATGTATCAATATTGCCTGACTTGCAAATAAAATGTCGCCATCTAGCAGAGAAAAATCTTTCGAATATTCATGTATAAAATACAATAAACATCAATAAGAGCGGGGAACATTATTAAAAACTGACATATTTACATGTTCATATTAACAATGAACAAAAGTACGCCGAAAATTATTTGGCGACCCCCCTCAATTTATTCAAAAGGGTGACCAAAAAAAGGTGACCTTACCCCCCCCCCCCCCCCCCCCCCCCCCCCCCACCCCCCCCCCCCCCCCCCCCCAACTGAACGAAATATCGGTGACCAACCGGACAAAAGTTGCTGGATGCATGTATCAATATTGCCTGACTTGCAAATAAAATGTCGCCATCTAGCAGAGAAAAATCTTTCGAATATTCATGTATAAAATACAATAAACATCAATAAGAGCGGGGAACATTATTAAAAACTGACATATTTACATGTTCATATTAACAATGAACAAAAGTACGCCGAAAATTATTTGGCGACACTTCCTTTCCTCGGCCACTTGTAATATTTTGTTTACTCTCGTAATTAGGCTTCATCCGGGGCTACATAGCCATGCATTTAAAGATTACTAGAAGAAGAAGACGGAGGAGGAGGAGGAGGAGGAGGAGGAGGCTGAGGAGGAGGAGGAGGTGAGGCATGAGGACTGAGCTGAGGAGGAGGAGGAGGAGCCGAGGAGGATGAGGAGGAGGAGGAGGAGGAGGAGCGGGGGGGGGGGGGGGAGGAGGAGGGGGGGGGGGGGGGAGGAGGAGGAGGAGGAGGGGCCGGGGGGATCGAGGAGGAGGAAGAGCCTAGGAGGAGGAAGAGGAAGAGAATAAAAAAAAAAGAAGAAGAAGCTATATAGAGAAGATCGAAGGAGAAGAAGAACAAGAACAAGAACAAGAAGAAGAACAACAACAACACCAACTTAGAAGAAGAAGAAGTAAAAGCATTATTTTTTGCTGGATTTTTTGCTGCAGAAACAAAACAAACTAAAACAAAACAAAATTACATCTATAGCTTACTTATAAGAATACAAAGAAATTGCATTTTCATTTGAAAAGAACCTAGGTAGACTATTCTATCTTCGAAATCTAGGAGAACAAAATAATGTCCGAGTGGGCACAATTAGCTTGGGCTATATAGACCTAGATCTACTCTAAACATGAAAACGATACAAACATCTCTACAGTACTCAGTACATGGGCGTGCCCCTTCGTGTATATAATCAATGCATGCATAACAGCAGGGAGTATGTTTTAAAGACAAAATACTATAAAGTACTTTCGTAGTATGTTAGAATGCGTGGAGTTGAATGTACATTGGGCAAAAGCAAAGAAGACTGTTTGAAATATGAGGATCCCATATAATACACGAAAACATTTCTCACTTTTACTCAATCTTGTTTTCGAGTCTCATACCGAAAAACAGCTTTCAAAGGACTAGGCCTGAATTGTAAAACGAGTTTATCCATAAAATCAATGTTATACTTCATTTAGGTTACTACTCGTATAACACGTGTATGGTAAAGTTGGTTGACCCCTCTTCCTAAGTATCCGCTTCTGAGTATCATTTGTTTTGGACTCTCTCACAAGTCGCAGCTGTAGGTAAGGAAATCTCCCTTATTTTCCTAATCGTTACATTAATGCCTGTTTAAACAGCTTATTTTGTGTGTTAATGAAATGTGGGGATGTCTATAGTTGTGTGCTTTTTACCTAGCTGTAGCTGTTCGTAGTTTTTAATACAAAATGTTACAATTAATTTGTCATAATTTCGGTGGACGTCGCACCGCACAGCGACTCCCCCTGCCGACCAAGGCCTGCGACTGGTTGGGCGTGTACACACGGTGCATGCGCGGTGAGCTGTACAGAGCTGGAGTCAGACTCGGGGTAATCCATTGATTGATGTTTTTCTTTTCAGTATTTTCAAAGTTGGTCCATGATTTTGTAAGATTTACCAAACCTTCTTTCTCTTTTGAATTTCTACAGGAACCCCAGTAACTTCACAAACGACATTATGGCTCGTAAGTAGATATCTGTATTATCAGCTGGTCCGAGAATAAGGATCGTCCGCATAATCAAGTTTATCTTCGTAAATACTGACAAACCGCGTCCTAAAAAATCAGGATCATCTGATTTTCACGGACGATCCTTATTAACGATTTGTGAGTTGGCGATGCGAAAAACAGATTCTGCGATGATGCTCCATGATGCATTACATTTACAGCACAGAGACGTTTCATGTTATGAATGATAAATCCTCGGGAAGACAGACAACCCGTAAAAGTAGATGGTGAACTAAGGGTATTTCATTACGCCAGCGCACAGATCAGGAAACCTACACAGGCTGCAGAGCGCCGAAGAAAAAACCCGTCAGCGGACAATCCTTATTTTTTTAGGACGTGATTTGTATGCGTTTACAAGGATATCCTTGTTTATGCAGACGATCCTCATTCTCGGACCCCAAAACTGGTTCTTGAATTTGTGTTTCACGCAGTTCAGCCCATTCAAAACGCGCATAAGAAGTCATGCAAGTATATTTTCGCAAATTCTAAAATTCGCACTTGCCAATCCTGTTATCTGTAGATCATTTAAAAAGACCACATTTTTTGTTTCCTGTGAACTGTGTCTTTGTATTGGACACCTGTAATTTGGGTACTTTGTTATAGTTATCCCCTGTCTGTAAAGACCACCCTTGTTTCCATTGAGTGGCCTTTTCATCCAAGTTTCAATACGGTATTAAAGAAACCCTTTTTTAAAGGATCATGATGTATGGAGCAGTATTTTAGAATGATGATATTAGAAAATACATTGGACATAAGTATGTACATGTAGGTGAAGCTTTAATTGATTACCTCATTTGTGATAAACTACCATGTTGTCCAATGTCTGTCATATCAATTATATCCTTCCCTTGCACATTGTTTTCCTCTTGTGTAGAAGAACAACAACCCCTCGCCTACCCACCACCCCAGCCCGGCGGTCCAGGCGCACCCCCCGGGGCTTACCCACCTGGAGCCGTTGGTGCTCCCCCAGGAGTCCCCGGAGCTCCAGGGCAGTGGATGCAGGCTCCTGCTCCTCCAAGCAACTGCCCTCCAGGCCTGGAGTACCTCACCCAGATTGATCAGCTCCTGGTCCACCAGAAGACAGAGCTCCTAGAAGGTATGCACACAAAAAAACCTAGTAATATGTATTTGACATATGAAATGTTCACATATTCTATGTTTGAAAATTTTGCAAATTTGCTTGTAAAATTTCGATCACTGATTTAAAATTGGATGAGATTTGTGTAAGTTCCATGCCATAAAATTATCGTACACAACTGGCCCAACATCCAACACTGAATTTTTGCAATTTGTAAAATACTAAAATTTAATTGTTGTGAAAATCACTGTCCTGTACAATTTGTGAAAGTTGCCAGTCATGAAAATGCTTTGTGTTTAACAGTAGTCCTTTATTTTTCTTGCACCTCATTCCTCTTTTGCTGCTACTTACTTCAGAATTAAATGCATGTATGGTTTTGTGAGAGACACAAAGGTATTGAGTCTATATGACAATGTTAAAATCCTTCTGTGACTTATTAAACGATATCAATATGTAGGAGCATTTGCTACCTCTTAAACATGCTCTGTATCTCATGTGTATTTTTTTTTTGTAAATTGCCTTTTTTTTCTTCTTCTGGCAAGTAAAATTAAATGGATGTACAGATTATGAACGAATCCATGCCTTTGCAATTAATCTAGCTAATCGAAAGCTGCCTTTAGATGCGTCGTACGCGGATGTGCAGTGAACATGCTAATAATCTGATCGGGGCAAATTCTCTGAGCCATTGCATTCACTGTGGTGCTTGCATCTGATGTTTTACACCAGAGTGACCAGACGCACATTATTAATTTGAAAACGTTCCAAGGTTCTTCTCGCTAATCTACTTGAAAATAAACATTCAGAACACAACCGGAAAGAGTCTGATAATATTTTAATAATTTTGTTAAACTTGTGGGAGGATTGCCTGACCAGGCAGCATATCAAAAGCAATGTTGGTAATGTAATGCCGAGTCAGTAGTACAACCAAATGAAATCTTTATCACAAGGATAGAAAAATAAGTGTTTAATGTCATTTTCTACAAATTATATTGACAGTCTAAAAAAGAATGCTCCTATTTTGGAAATTTTGTTTACACACTGATATTGATATTGTTATTAAAGACAGATCAACGCCCATTACAGTTTGTTCCTAGGCTGTTTATTGATGATCAAATACGATTTATAGTTTCCCAAGTTCAATAAACTAATTGTACAATCTATCTAAATGTCAATGAATTTTACAACTGGTAATAAAAATTAACCCAAAGTATACATGTACATGTACATGTACATCGACCTTATCACTGTACATTATGTACATGATACAATGCCATGGTTTAGTACCATTCATACTACCGGTGCTGTAAAACTTATGAGACCTGAAACTCTTGACTTGTTAAAGACAGCAAGAAACCTGGTGAATCGCAGACAATATCATCTAGTAGTCTGATATATCTGGGGAGTGTTTCACAAAGACTAAGGTCGACTTTAAGTTGTACTTAACTATGGCAAGCCGTTCATGCCACTGTTTTCTCTCATCATTTACTGGCATTGGTCTATCAAGGAACTTACAAATCAAGGTCTCAAATCTACAGAATTCACACTTTTTGATAGTTCATTATTGAAGGAAAATATTATCTAAAGATCATAATGGTGAGAGTAACCAGTGTCATGAATGGCCTGCCATAGTGAAGTCCAACTTAAAGTTGATCTTAGTCTTTGTGAAACACTCCCCTGGACCATTCACTTAATTCTCAACATTTTCTTGCACATGAAAGTGACTGACTGTGCTTTACAGAAAAAGCCTAACGTATGTTGTACACACAGTCTAGCTGTAAAGTATGTGGTTTGTAACTTGTAGCATTTGCCAAATGCATTGCCATCTTTTTGAATGTATATAAATACATGTTCATATTCAGTTTCTAATTTCTACTGGTAGCCATTGAGAGTAATCCTCTCATATTTAGTCAAGCTGAGTACCATAGTAATCTATTAATATACAGTTTGATAGATCTACATGTACATTGTGTGTTAAAAAAAAGGTCAATGTCCTACATTGTGATGTACTTTCATTGATAGCTAGTGCAGTTTATTCAATCCAATTCTCAAAATGTGACCCCCCCCCCCAACAAAATATTGAGTTGGGGGGAGGGGGGTCTTTTCAGATTTTCAACAAAAAGACAATTACAAAACAAACAAAAAGTTCACAGGCCATACATAGAATGTTCATACAGAGGGTAACTTGGATTATTATGGGGGGGGGGGGGGCAATTTTAAAACTCATCTTGTACTACATGTAACTTTGCTACAGATAACATGAGAAAATGGGAAAGTCATTAATTGCTAATGGGCCTCAGGGCTCTGTCTAGATGCAACAAGTTTATGTCCATGTACACATGTTGGCTACAAGGCTACATGTATATGATTTTCATTTCTGTTTACATGTTTGCAGTACACTGGAGCATTAGAAATCATCTGAAACATAAACTGTAGCTGTAGGCTTAGTAGGCAGTAGTATTAGGCTGCGTTCATGCTTAAATTTTGAAGGCAGAATGAGCGATCTGAAACGCTCATCGTAAACGCTCATCGTGATCGCAGTTCCACGATGTAGTGTTCATGCTTACTTCTCCAGGCAATCTCCTTGGGTGGCCTTCAGCTGGATTCGCAAACCTGTGTGCGCATGCTACGTAGACCCACTAGAGGTCAGTGCGTTGACCCCATTTAAACGCGTTTACAAATTGTAAACGCATCTTTTTGTGAGTTTACGATCGGCGATCGTGATCGCCGTTTTTCGGTGATTCTACAAAAGTGAGCATGAACGCAAGCGTGTTTTAAACTAAACGCGTAACAGATGCCTGATTCTGGCCGTCAAAATCAAGCATGAACGCGCCCTCAGAAGTGAATATTTGTGTGGGAGTATTCTACAATGCACAGTGTTCACAGCAGACTGATTTTCCCTTTAGAGAAAGATATCAATAAAACATGTCTATTTTTAGATACTGGTGGTAGTGACTCGTAGAACACACCCTAAAAAAGCTAACAGTGTGATCAATTATAACAATCTGTTCATTTAATTACTCCATTCTTCATGATTTCCATGGCTGTGGAGATTGTTGAAGCTCACCACTACAGGAGGTCCTGTTTAGTACCGGTAGTCATATTTTCCTTGATTACTATGGCATGCCAGTAATGGTAGTTGCAACTGTCATTTCATCACACTCAAAAAGAAAATTGATTGACTAATTAGTTAAGAAGTATAATGCTTCATGTGTGTATTGGTCACATTTTTCATACCAAAGTCTTGTTTAGACATGACGTGGGAAATTGCTGCTGGATAAAAACTTATTCTTCAATAAATTGCAATTGGCAATACTGAAGAGTTAAAAAACTGCTCATGACAATTGCCCGTGTGCATGGTGATGGTACAACAAAGAACATGTAACAGCCATTTTACGATTTAGAAGATACAGATATTGTAGTTTGTACATGTATGGATACTGTGTCTGTGTGTAATTTGAGTGCAATATGTTTCTTCTCTTGAATTTGCTTCAGCAATTCAATCATCTTACTGCTTGTCTGAATAATGCTTTACAGTGCTCAGTTGTTAAGCAAGTGTTAGAGTGTACACTGAAGGTTGTTATGGACAACCTTTGTGCATATATGTATATGTTGACAGATTGATAGGTTACGATGCATTGTCAATACTAGGAATTATGCATACCAGTACGTCACACAAGGAATTTATCACCACTTGAATTTCAAAGCACAATAACCATGTTCACATAGGACGTACCAGTTTAATTTTTAAACCTCAAGTTTGTGAAACTATGAAGATTTAAACAACGATCCACTGTCAGCAACAAGGGTTCACTTGGTCTCTAAACTACAAGCCGGGCATGCATGGTTTATAAATTAAAAATAAACTTATTAAAGTAACATAACCACACAAAAGATGAATGAATCCTATTTGTATTTTTATTGTATTTTACCATATAAAATCATATTTGCTTGAAAGAGGCCTTTGTCCCTTATCCATATTTACTTGTACTTATTTGGGTACACATGCCCTTCTTGTGACCTTAGATTGAATTTATTGTACTAGCTGGCATGCATACATGTACTGAAAAATTTAATGTAAAATACAATTTAGGTTACAAATTTCCATCAGGCTTTATTATCCATGATTAATGGATAGAACTATTGTATCTATGGGCGTGGAAGTCACAAGATATGTCAGTTAAGATAATTTCAGAATCAAGGTGTTTTTATTCAAGTTTTAAAAATACATGTTGAAAACTAGATCCTGAAAGTTATGGGAGGAAAGATTTTATGAGTAGTGATAATCTCGTTATGAAATTCCTCTGAAATGACTCAATTATGGGTAAGGCGCTAGGGGTATTTGCACTTCCAGGAATTTTTTTTTTTTCTCCCTCACATTCTGGAGTCTCATCAGAAGTTTCTTGGCATGACAACAAAACTTGAATTGAAAAACCCACCTCTCATTCTCACTAGTTGCTTTTTGAAATGCTGACCGCAAGTTCGCCACTTTTTGGTTTTTGTTTTGCAACGTAAAACTGTAAATGCCTACTCTCATAAGGTCAACACTGATGAATTATTCTGGTTTTTATGCATGCGACTCTCCTCTCTTCTGTGTTTTCTCATGCAGATTGGTGACAATTGGCACATGCACACAACTCTTAATATCGATGCCAATGTTTTAAACATGTTTATTAGTATAAATGGTACATGTAGTTTTAAACAAAAGTTATGTTTTCTTCAAAATGTTTTTCCAGCAGCTTCAATGGGCCTAAGATTTATGGTTATTCTGTAGTTGGGGGCCCCCAAGGGATTCGCCTACATTTGTTTTTTATATATTCAGCACTTGACACATTTTTCTCTTCCACTATCACTATCACTGTTTTAGAGCCATGGTTTCTGTAATTTTTTATTAAATGGGAACAACAAGTTTTCCTTTTCTAAATGTCTCAACAAAGAAATCTAAAGCTTCTGGATGTGAAAGATTTGCAAGATCTCCAATCAGATGTTCATTATATTATCATCCTGTGTATGGAGCTGCG